AAACAGGTAGATTGATAATGGATTGTAGGGGACATCAGAAAGGGTGGGGCATATAGATAGATAGAAGGCTAAAGGGAACATTTTTACTGTCACCACCCTTTGGTAAGATACCTGGTTCTCAGGCATGGAGATTAACCTAGAGCAGAATTAGTAACATTTTGTCTTCATGATGGGCATGGTGGATGCATATAAATTAAATGTGGAAAACATCTGGGGTGTGACATAGGGCAGAAAAGAGGGCAATTCAAAGTCCTTAGTACTCATCTACTTACATCCAAGTTACTGGACTGGGTAAAAGACAAAGGATTCAAGGAAGGCATCAAACCAGAGGCCAGGACCAGAGAATCAGAGAAATGGGAGAGAGAAAATTCATTAGTCAGTCTCCATGGAACTTCTGTCTGAAAAGCACTGGTAGAGAATTAAGGTCATTCTAGCACTCAAGTATGACAAGAGAAGAGCTGAGTGGGAGAGGCACTAACACAGAATAAAACCCCAAAGTGGACTGCGCAGCTACTGCATTCCATGCTCTCCCCACTCCAGTACTTTTGGAGGTGATAATGATAGTGGGCATCCATATAAGGATCCTTCCCCTCCCCACTTTTGACACTGACTCAGTAGATACCCGCCTTTCCCCACAACACTGACACCCTGGCCTACCTGATCAGTCAACCTTGGCATTGACTTGGGCACAGTAGCCAGAGCCACAAGTCTTTGTGTCTCTCCAAGGTGCCTCAGAGTCTGTCCTAGAACAGGTTATCTATGTATGGCCTGTATTTCCATCAGATTTGGAGTTCATTCCTATTAGGTATCTCATTTCCTCCCAACATGTTACATGAGTTTCTGCACTTTTTGTTGTTGTTCAATTGTATACAACTCCTCATGACCCCATTTGGGGTTTTCTTAGCAGAGATATTTGCCATTTCCTTCTTCAGCTCATTTTACTGATGAGGAAACTGAGGCAAACAAGGTTAAGTGACTTGCTCAGGAATACACAGCTAGACTGGCTGGGGACAGCTTTGAATTCAGGGAGATAAGTCTTCCTGACTCCAGGCTAGCATTCTATTCACTGCACCACCTAGCTGCCATCTGTACTTTGGGGTGTCTTTTACCATCACTCAGAGCTCATTGGCTGAATGAAATAGCAGCAAAGCTCTCTGAGACTTCTAACAGAGACATAGAATTGAAGAATCTCATATAGAAAGGGATATCAGAAGCCATTTAGTCCAATTCATATCTGAATAGGAACCCCCTCTCCAACATCTAGACAAATGGTTATTCCAGTTCCTGGAAATTTGCCTCCTACTTTAGAAAATAGAGACCATTCTTCATGAGCTCCCTCTTCTCCACTATTCTACACTTAAAATCCCTCTAACAGCATCTGCCATTCTCTCCTCCTTTGCTCTAGTTTCTAAGAAAGATGTGTCTCTTGACCTTGGCAAAACCAAATTTTCAATTTACAGTATTGATCCTTCTTTCCTCCCCATATCTCTGTGAGCACACTTCTTTGATCATCCCCCCAATTCACCTCCCCATCCCCAAACAATGTCTCTTCTTATATACTGGCTCCTCCCTTGTTGCCTACATACAAACCCAGATCTCTCTTACCCCTAAGAGCTCTTCACTGTCTCCTACCATCCCTTCAAGCTACATCTCCCTTTCATAGCCATAGATGCTTACTCTCCTAGCTTCTTTTCCCTTCATCTCCCACTCCTCAACCCCTTGCACTCTGGTTTCTGACCACTGCCATTCCACAGAAACTGCTGTCTCCAAGGTTACCAACAATTTAGTTTAAATGGCCAAATGATGGCATTTTCTTAGTACTCATCCTTCTAGGACTTTCTGTAGGTGTTGATATTGTTCTGCGCTCTGTCCAATTTTTGTCTCCCTTCCGCTTTCAAGATAACTTACTTGTGAGATTTCCTCCTATCTTTCTGATGACTTCTCAGCCTTTTTTTTTTTTTGTAAATATCATCTGAGTCTTGTCTCATAGGTATGGGTATCCCCTAAGACCTTATCTTACGTTTTCTTTTCTTCTCTATACTCTCTTCCTTGGTGCTCTTATGATCTCTCATGAATTCAATTATCATCTCTATGAAGATGACTCCCAAAGGCCAAAACTATATGTCTAGCCCTAATATCTTTCCTGTTCTCCAGTCTTACACCCCCAACTCTATTGTACATCTCCACATAGATGTCCTGTAAGCACCTTAAACTCACACGTCCAAAGAGAGCTCATTATCTTTCCCCTCAAACTCATTCTATCTCTAAGCCTTTTTCCTTCTGTCCCCAACCTCACCTCTGCTCCTTGAGTGAGGTTATATTTCTAACTATTGCGAAACCTGAATCAAGCCCTCGGGACCACCGTACTTACCTGGTTCACTACTGCCCAGAATTTTCGTTGCAATAATTCTAACTTCATTTGCACACCCACCGCTGCAAGGGCAGCAGGAAAAGGAAGGGAGGGAGGACAAGATATATATATATACACACACACACACACACACACACATATATATACATATATATGTATATATATGTATATATGTGTATATATATACATATATGTATATATATGTATGTGGTTAAGGATTGGGGGCAGGAAAAAGAAGATTGAAGGAAGTTTAGGGGCAGGTAGGGCAAGGGAGGATGAGAGAGAAAAAAAGAAATAGAAGGTAAGAAAGGAAAGTGACTGATTCAAAAGGAAATGCATTTTGTGAGGAAAAGCTGAGTGAGAGTAAAAAGTCCAGTAGGTGCTTATGGGTAGGAAGAAGCAGAAAAAGCCTCTTGTTCCAGTCTTCCACCAGCTGAAAAGTGATGAGCAGGAAATTTTCTTCAAGAAGACAGTTGACAAAACTTTAATTAACATGGTGTGAATCTTTTCATCACTCTGGCAGCACCTGACTAAAAGTTAGAATCCTGGAACTTTAGAGCTGGAATGGCTGTTACACATCATCTAATATATCCCCCTTCCCCTGAACTGTGCCATTGAAGAAACTGAGGTCCCTATAGGTTATGTGACATTGTCACTTATCTATTTTTGCTGAAGACGCTTCCATCCTTCCAAACATTCAGGATCACAACCTTGGAGTCATCCTTAACTCCTCATCCTTTCTCAAACCCTATCACTTTAATAGCTTAAAACTTCACTAAGAATTTTGGGACGCACTATACAATCAATTGCCAATCCCCTATTCTCCACTCATGTGACTACTATAGCTTTGGACCCTCATCACCTCTCACCTAGACTATTATAACAGCCTATAAATTGACATAAGAATAGCCAGGCTTAGGGGTTCTTTCTGGAGCCATACCACCAGTGTGCCTGAATCTTATTGCAGCAGTCCAGTCTTCTTTGCCTCAATTGTCCTTGGATGAATGGTGGCAAGACCAGATGCGTGATGAAGGAATGCAAGAAATAATACAAAAAATAGAGTGAAGGGTTGACTCTCAGAGCTTAATTTCATTCTTTGGACGGAACTTTACTGTTATAACGGCAGAAGTTGTAGCTGCGCAATGGAGAGACATACCAGACTGTCAAGATCCTCCACATGACGCCAGGAAGCAAGTGGTGTCATCCCACCCATTTTATGCTTTGGCCATGAAGGCCAATGGACATTTGGGTTGAGAAAGCCCTTGAATTATTGAGAAACAAATTTTATTAGTCTAAAATGGTGGCAGAGATGAGTAAGATGAGTACAGCTTGTGCTCAATGTATCCAAAATTCTGTTAATTCATGCTATTGTTGTTCCTCCTTTGTTTTCAAAGAGGACGAATGACATCAGTGGGTGATGTTTTGCAGCTTGTGCATGAATTAGATTTAAGTGAGTCAGAGTAGCACAAAGTTATCAGCCTCACTCTGTCTTCCAGAGTCACTGAAGTCCAGTGGCAGGACAAAAGTCAGGACTACTGGCGATGGTAGTGATGCCCTTGGCATCTTCAATGTCTGACCAAGCTCTGAGCCACCACAGTGCCTCCTTCAATCTCTTTCATGGCCATTGGATCAAATTGTTCTCATCTGTCCATTCCATTGGGGCGGTGGGGGGGGGGGGGGAGAAGGTCTTTTTTTTTTTTTTCTGGTGAGGCAATCAGGGTTAAGTGACTTGCCCAGAATAACACAGCTAGTAAGTGTCAAGTGTCTGAGGTCAGATTTGAACTCAGGTCCTCCAGACTCCAGGATCAATGCTCTATGCACTGGCCTCCTAGCTGCCCCTGGAAGTCTTCATATGCTTGGGGTAGCCATCCCCCTAACTTACGTATGGGTTTGAGGCCTGTCAGTTACCTTCAACCTGGTTTAGTCCATCTGCCAAGATAGTTTTACTGGGGTGTAGCCACAGCTTCCTGGAGCCACAGGTGAGAGTTGAGTACCAGTTAGACACCAAAGGTGGATGCACAGCCCTGAAAAGAGCTCACACCAGAGGTACCAGTCCTCTCTCAACACCCCATGCACCCCATTTTCTGATATAACCCAGGATTGTCTGTACTCACAGATCTGGTAAGATAGAGTCATTCTTTGTTCCATACCACTCGAATGAGTGTAGCCTCCTTTGATTGGCTGCATAACCAGAACAGGCTTTATCCTTAAAATGGTTGAGACTGAGAGGATCTTTTCTGCTATTCTTTCCAGAAGATCCCAGTTCACCCACAGCACAGAAGCCATGACGTGAACTGGTGGGAAGGAAAAGGACTTTCTCTGCTCTCCCTTTTTTTTACTGCCGCTCTGAGAAATGGGCCTGGGGTTGTTTGTTTTTGTCCTCTGTTGTTTATTCTTGCTTTCAGGTGCCAGAAGTGATCCCTATGGGATCTGGTCATTTAAGCCATAATGATTTTGGAACCAGGATTCCAGGCAGGATGGTGCAGCCATGCAACCCAGCATGGACGCCTTGAGAAATCTGGGCCTGAACTCAGGCAGGTTTTGGACTTGAAACTGGGACTGTGCTCTAGAGGAAATGAGCTAATCTATGAACCTAATCTCCTTTCCCTTTTCAGAGACTGAGAGGATGTGAGGCAGGGGGGAGTAAGTTTTTATACTTGTGATTATATGTTTGGAAATAAATATTTCTGAGTAAAAGCTAATCCAACTGTTAGTGGTTCGTGGAAGTGGAATGCAGAGGAGAACCCCCTACAACTGCGGGAACAACACCATTGGGGGCTGGAGCTTTTTGCACACAGCCTAGACACACCCCAATACCCCTAGAAGGTACTGAAGAACCTTGGAGGAAGGAGTTAATGTGACCTACCTTCTAGGCAGTGAGACCCACAGCAGACAGTGTCACACTGGTACATTCTAAGCTGTATACCTTCTCTGATTTGGTTGTTTACAGGATCTGCCTCAATGAATACAGAATGGCCCTCTTCTCACTGAATGATAATTAATACAGCACTGCACAAACTGCATTCTACCTGACCCCACTCACCAGTGCCTCCCAACCCACACGTCTGCCTGGTACAGACACATTAAGAAATGTGTCTACAATGAGCCCCGGGAAAATCCGGGAACAATAGAATGGAAAGACTAAGTAGGATTTTTTGCTTTTTCTTTTAGGCTTAACAGCTGCAGCATGGAGCTAGGGACAGATCACTTCACTAAGAGTCAGGAGTCCAGAGGTCTAGTCCCATCTCTGCTGTGTCACTGTGGGCAACCCCCTTAACCCCCTCTAGGATTTAGTTTCCTTATGTGTAAAATGAAGGGGTTCGATAGATGACTGAGGATTTAGAGCTGGATGGGACCGTAGAGGCTAGGGCAGGTTCCCTACCCCTGCCCTAGAGACTCCCACCCCATCTTTTTATAGTTAAGAAAACCGAGACCCAGACAGGTTATTTGCCCAGGGTCAAATAGCTAGAAAGTGTCCAAGGTGGGTCCCTTATTGCAAGTCCAATGACCTGTCTACCAGACTGCTTCTGTACCTCTTAGGCTTCTTTCAGCTCTAATATTCTAGGATTCTCTTTAGCTGCTAGCTAGATGGACCCATAGTCATCTTTGTGGGTCAATTAGAGTTAATAGCATACGGAGAATAATTATGGCTTAAGTTCTTATAACACTTTAAGGTTTACAAAGCACTTTCTTTATAATAGTTCTGTAAGGTTAAAAAGCAGAAATATCACCATTTTACAAAGAGGAAAATGAGACTCAGAAAGGATATGTGATGTGTCCATCAACATATAACTAGCAGGTTTTAGAGATGAGATTTGAACCCATCTTAATTTGAAATCCAGCACATTCTGCTACACCATAATAGCCTTGTGGTAACAGGAAGCTATGGGAAGGTAATTTGATAATCATCCCATAAAAAAATGAAGAGAATTTCCGGAATTAGGGAATATATGTCCATGGGCCATGCTCTCCTTGCAGGGTGGTTTTTTTTGCCCCACCCCCTCTACCCTAGAGCTAGTTCCCCTAAGAGGTATGTCAGGCCTAGTAACTTGTAAGGGATTTCTTAGAGAAGGACAGGTAGTAGCAAGGATCACAGGCATCCTTGTTGTTTCTTGAACAAGACCCTCCATCTTCCAATTCTGGGCATTGTCACTGGCTGTCCCTCATGCCTGGTCTCCCTCCTCATCTCTTGCTTCTGACTTCTTTCAAGGCCCAGCTAAAATCTCACCACCTACAGGACGTCTTTCCCAATCCTCAGCACTAGAATACATTCTAGTGCCTTCTCCATCAATTATCGCCCATTTGTCCTGCACACAGTTTGCTTGTACATAGTTGTTTGCATGGTTGTCTCTCCTATTAGACTGTGGGCTTTTTGAATACGTGGACTGTCTCTTACCTTCTTTGTGGCCTCAGGGTTTTTAGCACAGTACCTAGTGCCTAGTAGATGGTTCATTAGTGTTTTCTGACTGACTGAAAATGTTAAACAGCTCAGGGCCAAGTATAGATACCTGGGGCACTCAACTGGAGACCTCCTGCCACAATGACACCACACCATTAATAACTACTGAGTCCTGCCATCCAACCTGTTATTAATCCATCTCCTTGTATTATCATCCAACACAACCCTTCTGTCTTCTTCACAAGAATAGTAAGAGGTAATTTATCAAAATGTTTGCTAAAATTCAGGTAAACTATATCCACAGCATTCCCCCATCTACTAGTTGAGTAATTTTGTCAAAAAAAGAGAAAGAAATGACGTTAACCCAGCATGACTTATTCTTGATAAAGTCATGCTGTCTCTTTATAATTACAACTCCCCTTTCTAGGTACTTACCAACCATCTCTTTAATGATCCTTTCTGGAGTTTTCTTGGGGATCAAAGTCAAGTTCATGGGACTATAGCATATAGGAAATGTTTTCTTCCCGTTTTTTGAAAATTGGGACATTTGCCCTTCTATAATCTTAGGATATTTTCCCTATTTTCCAATGATCTTTTAAAAATATCACTGTGTATAGTCATATGAAAAAGTGTTCTAAATCACGATTAATTAGAAAAATACAA